TCTGCTATCTGAATTTCAGTGTCTTGCCATGATTAGAAAGTTCTCCTCAATTATCTCTTAGAGTATCTGTCCCTTTCAGACCTTCCTCTTCTCCTTCAGGGATTCCTAGGAGGCAAATGTTTGCTCTTTTGGAGTGGTCCCACAATTCTTTCAAGGAATGATCCATTTTTGCTCTCCACTTCTCTTCCTCTTTGAGCATTTTGGAGCAGTCAAAAGTTTGTCTTCAATGTCACAGATCCTTTCTTCTCCCTGCTCCATTCTGTTACTGAGGGATTCTACTGTATTTCTCAGATCTTTCAGGGCTGCAAGTTCTTGCGTTAATGTGTCAAAATCTTGGTGGTTTTATCTTTGAATTCATTGAATTCTCAAGACAACTTTTGAATTGCTCCTTGAATTTTTTTTTTTTTTTTTTTTTTTTTTTTTTTGAGACAGAGCCTCAAGCTGTCCCCCTGGGCAGAGTGCCGTGGCATTACAGCTCACAGCAATCTCCAACTCCTGGGCTCAAGCGAGTCTCCTGCCTCCGCCTCCCAAGTAGCTGGGACCACAGGCGCCCGCCACAACGCCCGGCCATTTTTTGGTTGCAGCCGTCATTGTTGTTTGGCGGGTCCGGGCTGGGGATTCGAACCCGCCACCTTAGGTGTACGTGGCTGGTGCCTTAGCCGGTTGAGCTATAGGCGCCGAGCCTGCTCCTTGAATTTCTAATTCCATCTTCGCATCCATTCTATTAATCTTATTTGCAATCCAAATTCTGAATTGGATTTCTGACATCTCAGCCATTTGTTTATGAATGCGATCTTCTGTTATGTCTCCTTTGTCATTCCTTGGGGGAGTTGATCTACTCTGATTATTCATGTTGCCAGAGTTTTTCCACTGATTCCACCTCATGATTATTTTTTACTATTTTGCTAGAGAAGCTGGTAAGGTGAAATTGAATTGAGGGCTCTTGGATTTATAATTTACCAGCCCTTTACCAAAGAATTGAGATTGGTGATTGTGGCTTTTCCCTTAGAGCTTTACAAAAGTCCCATTCAGAACTACAGCCTGAAACTCTGGGGGCCTGCTTGGTGTGGTGGGGCTAGATGGCAGTGACCAGTACTCAGCTAGTCTCAGTCCAATCCTAGTGAATCAGTGGCTTTGGGCTGAAATCTCAGCTATGGAGATATATAAGCAACTAAGACACTCACACTCCCACAGGTGACAACTGGCAGGGGAGGATCCTACACTTCCACAACCACAAAACCAGGGTACAACCTTGGTGGATCCCTGGGTGATTGGCCCAGATCAAGAATACCAAACCGATTATTCTGGTCAACACAAGCATTAACCTGGTGGGATAGTTCAAAAGGTCTTTAGCATCTAGGCAGGGGGTGGTGTACTAGCAGCTCAATTTGAGCCCAATAGGAGAGACCATGGAGACACCACCACTGTTGGGATTGCGCTGCCACTGTCAGGGTGGTGCCATCAGTCTGGGGTACTGCTGTCTGCAGGTCACTGGAGCCAGAGGGGAACTGGAGGGCATTGCCACCAGCTGCGAGGATCACAGGAGCCAGGCAAGGAACAAGAGGGCCTTGTGACTCCTGCCTGGCTCCTGTGACCCCTGAGGCCCCAGAGATGGGTGACCTTGTTCTCCTAATTCCCCCCCACTCCTGCAGCTGGAGGCTGGGAGTCAGTGTCTCTAATTAGTTTTATCCCCCATCCTTCATTATTTTATTCATGCCACTTACTGATACTTAAATGATTTTTTTTCTAAAATGCAATCCCCTAGATTACAAAGACTTTGTCTTTTTCATTTGCTAATGTTTTCCCAATGCCCAGAACAGTAGTAGTACACATTTTATAAATGTATGGATTGAAAGAATGAAATCTAGAACAACCCATAGCTTTGAGGAAGTTCTTAATAAGAGGTTTTTTCTGAAACATGCTGAAGAAACCTTTAGATAGGTGCTGTGTGTATAAGTGCTAAGCTATGGAACTCTCAAAACAGTCTAAGTTTTATCATTTAAGGTTTTGCTGTTGTATGTCCTCAGTTCTTGAAATCATGCCTAGCTTAAAGTAAGTGGTCAGTAAATTCTTTTGAATAAATAAATGGTGCCTGATGCAAAGTATTCATTGAACACATGTGAATAAAAAAAATTCAGAAATTAAGACATGCAACAGATACTGGGGTGAATGGTTTATGTTTTTCTCCTACTCATGTTCCACATTTTCTTTTCCCCTTTCAATAAAGAATATTTATTTTCATTCTGTTAATATGCATTGAGCACCTAATTTATACTAGTGATATTTTAATATAGCTAATTATCAAAACTGACTTACTGAAACCCTTACAATACAGAACTTCTTCAATAGTTGAGTTCCTCTTATATGTTTGTCAACTGGGCAGTAAGAAAATTGGCAGATCAAAATCACATACCATGCAATATCATAGATTTTGAGTTCGCATCTAAATATTTATAGACAGGGAGAGAAAAAAAAGGAATGAAGTTGGATAAAATGTCTAATAATGATATAGATTGAACAATTTTTTTTGAGACAGAGTCTCAGTTTGTCACCCTCAGTAGAGTGCTGTGGCATCACAGCTCACAGCAACCTCCAGCTCTTGGGCTTAGGCGATTCTGTTGCCTCAGCCTCCCAAGTAGCTGGGACTACAGGCACCCACCACAATGCCTAGCTATGAACAATTTGTTTTTGTCTACTCCTAATGCCCATATATACTGCTAGGATTCTAAGAAAGTGTTTTTGTGATGTTAAAATAACCTTAATAAATTTTAGAGAATGATTAACTGCTTTGATCAAATAAATGCTTTTTTGGTACAAGTCTGGTAGCATTATTTGGATGCATGATTTTTGGGTAAATCTTTAAAAGTAAAATATCTTGACTCTGAATGACACCTGATTTCAATTGGTTTTGACAATGAAAAGCATTGCAGTGTCAAGAACACCAAGGGATACAATAATGAGCATCCCTGCACATATATTCATTTGTACTGATTGGGTAAATTCCTACAAGTGAAATAGCTGCATCAAAGGGTATGTACTCTTAGTATTTTCATAGCAAGTGCCAAATTATTTTCCAGAATGGTTAGAGCAAATTTATACTCCTCCTAAACATCTGTGAAATATGTTGTTGTTCTGTACTCTCTCTAGAAGTTGGTATCATCACACTCTATAAATCTTCTCAATTTCCCATATAATTAAAAAGAAATCCTTTTATTATTTCAATTTTCATTTACTTAGCAACTACTGAGGTTGCACCCATTCTCACACACTGATCATTTTTAATTCTATGAATAGTGTATTCACATCCTTTGCCCATTTTAAATTGTATTAATCATACCTTATATGATAAATTGCTAATAATTGATTTGAAGAATTTTTATTGTGTATTAGAGATGTGAAAATTTTATATCTTATGTTTTTCAAATATTTTTCTCCTGTTTTTTGTCATTTGAGTTTATTTATAGAATCTTCTGATATATAGAGGATTTTAATATTCATGTGGTTAATGTAACTTTTTATTTTATTCATTCTGGACTTTTGATCTTGCTAGGAAATAGTTACATTGAATTTACAAACTATTATAGTATATTTCCTCTTCCTATATACATTTCATTAACTATGTCATTTTATTTATATGAAGCTCAGATAATCATTCAGAAATATTTCTAGGCAAACATGTAAATAATTTCCTTCCAAATGTATTTTCAGAACACCCAGTTATACATATTAGTCCATCTTTCCCTTACCTCTTTGATTCACCCCTTGTAAATATGTTTCACTGATGTCTGTACATAAGTATGTTCCTTGACTTGTCTATTCCACTCATTCATTTGTTTATTCTTTTGTCAGTACCATACTCTATGGGTTACAGTGGCTACTATGATATAGTTTCACATATGGTAAGTCAAGTCCCTTAAAGTATTCCTGAAAAATTTCTTGGCAAATCTTCTGACATATAATTGTATTTTTATTTTTTATAATTGTCAAAAATCCATTTGGATTTTGATTGAAAATACAAAATATTGCTGTATTATAAACTATCACTAAATAAATAAATTTAGCTCTTTAATCTTAGAGATTGCCATTAAGGTGGGAAAATCATCTTGATTGCAAATCAGGATATGCAATTCTCATTGTCTAATGCTATGATTTGCTGCCTATGTGATTTTTCTATCTGGTTGTCTTATTCTCCAGTGTCAAATCTTTTGGAGTGCATTTACTCCTGGATGTGGCCCCCAGAGCCCTCCAAAGTGATTTTCATGTAAATCTCATGGTATTATTTTATCTCATGCCATGTTAAATATACTCTATGATATTTTTAAGATCTAATTCAAATAATATAAACAATTTATATCAAAGCGTATAATATATCTTTATTTATGTTTAAGAGGAATGGCAGGTTTACTTGAGTGGATATCAGAAACATTGAAAGTCACTGGATAAGTTAATCAAAAGGGGAGAAAGACAAATGCTCGAAATTTAAAATGACAAAGGTGACATAGTCTTTAATACAAAGAAAATTTCAAGTCTCCTAAGTGCAAAGTTTGCAGAATTCTACTCAAATACATTTGAACACAGATGCAGTGGATACTTTTCTAGTGAAACATAATTCACCCACACTGGCCCCAGGGGAGACAAAAAGTCCAAAGAGACAATCACATAAAACATGCTGAATTTAGATAAAGAATTCTTATATAAAACAGCAGCCAGGAGCCCGGCACACAAGCCACTCCTCCTCCGGGCCTTCACCGCGGCGGGCGCGTGATATTTAGCGGGAGTGCGCCTCGGGCTCGAGGTTGCGCCAAAAGTCTGCGCCTGGGACGGTGAGGCGGTTGGGGGAAGCCCGGCCACCGAGGGGAACGCTCTCCAGCATCAGCGGCGGTGACCCAGAGTGTCTGTCCTGTCTGGGCACCAAGGCGGTGGTACTGCTCGCGTTGGAATTGAGGGCTGAGCGCCTTTGAGCCAGGACCGGGTTCCAGGAGCCCTCTTGGCCCACAGAAATGAGCCGTCGGCCTGACAGGGCACGGCCCGCTGGTCCCTCACAGGGTCCACCACGCCAGGGGGAGCCGGACCTGTCTGCCATGACTCCATCCAGCAGCCACTTGAGGAGCCTTTTCGAGTGTCCGGTATGCTTTGACTATGTGTTACCCCCCATCCTTCAGTGTCAGCGTGGTCATCTTGTTTGTATCAGCTGTCGCCAAAAGCTGACTTCTTGTCCAACTTGCCGGGGCCCATTGGGATCCATTCGCAACTTGGCTATGGAGAAAGTGGCTGATTCGCTTTCGTTTCCGTGTAAATATGCGCCTTCTGGGTGTAGAATAACTCTGCCGCCCGCGGGAAAAGCAGACCACGAAGAGGTCTGTGACTTTAGACCTTATTCCTGTCCGTGCCCTGGTGTTCTCTGTCCGTGGGAAGGCTCTGTGGATGCCGTGATGCCCCATCTGATGGATCAGCATGGCTCTCTTACAGCACTAGAGGGAGAGACTGCAATTTTCCTTGCTATGAACATTAATAACGAGCATGGTACTTTTTACTGGGTGATGATGCAGTCCTGTTTTGACTTGCACTTCATGGTGGTCTTGCAGAAACAGGAAAACCACCACGGTGAAGAGCGGTTCTGTGCAATTGTACAGCTGCTAGGAACACCCCAGCAAGCACAAAATTTTACTTACCAACTTGAGGTGAAAGGTGATCGACGGCGACTGACTTGGAGAGCAACTCCTCGGTCTATTCGGGAGGGCATCGAGACAGCCATGATGAGCAATGACTGCCTTGTCTTTGACACCAACACTGCACAGCTTTTTGCAGAAAACAACGAATTAAGCATCACTGTAACTATTGCCGAGTATTGAAATGGCAATAAGACATTTTCTGGCCAGTGTTTAGAACTTTAATTTCGCAGAAAATAAGACACCCCTCTGCCTGCCAACCTGAAAGTCTTTTGGTTGGTGGAAGGTAGCTACAGCAAAGTAAATAAAAGGCTGTAAAATACAGGAAGCAGTTTCAAGTAGTAACACAGATATCTTTAAACGTAAGTCAACAGTAAACCACTGAAAATACATATTTGTACATCCAAGGGGGGCATGTTTGTTATTAAAAAAGGAAGCATTGTAAAATAATTCTGAGGTTTGTGCTTGTAGTACATTGATTGTATTGCTGAAAAGTACTGGGTTTGTTGTCTGCGTGTATGTGTGTGTGTGATCGTGTGTGTTCTTGTGTGTGTGTGTGTAAGGGAACCTGTGTCTGAGCATGTGTGTGAGTGTGGGGGTTATTTTCTCTTGAACTGACAAGCCATCTTGAGTGGTCATGGACCAGTGCTTTTCCCCTTTGGGAGTCATTACATAGTGCTTTTGTGTGTGTGTGTATCTGCTAATTTTTATGGTAGTTTTTGATTAAATAAATTTGACTTTCATTTATGTAATTCAGAGTTTTTTAATTAAATCATAGCTGTGTACATTAATGCATTTATGGGGTATAATGTGCTCGTTTCATATACAATTTGAAATACAACTAAATTTCACTGCACTTTCTTAATTATTGTCTTAAGACATTTATACTCTACACTTAATAGACTTGACATGTATCCTGGTAAAATGCACCATAGGTGTGATCCCATCAATTACCTTCTCTCCACCCATTCTCCCCCCTCTCTTCCCCTCCCCTTCCCCTCCTCTATCCCCTTCATCTTGGGCTATAGTTGGGTTATAGCTTTAATATGGAAGTATGGGTGCTTATATATTGGTTTCATAGTAGAGCTGAATACATTGGATACTTTTTCCTACATTATTGATATACTTTACTAACACGAATATGTTCCAGCTCCATCCATGTAAACATAAAACAGGCAAAGTCTCCATCATTTTTAAGGCTGCATAATATTCCATGGTGTACATATACCACAATTTATTAATCCATTTGTGGGTCAGTGGACACTTGGGCTTCTTCTATAACTTGGCAATTATGAATTGGGCTGCAATAAGCATTCTGGTGCAAATATCTTTGTTATAAAGTTATTTTTGGTCTTCTGGATATATACCTAGTAGAGGAATGGCAGGATCGAAGGGCAGGTCTGTTTTTTGATCCCTAAGTAATCTCCAAACTTTGTTCCAAAAGGAACGTATTAGCTTGCATTCCCACTAGCAGTGCAGTTGTGTTCCCTTTTCTCCATCCACATCCATGCCAACATCTATAGTTTTGGGATTTTGTTACGTGGGCTACTCTTACTGGAGTAAGATGATATCTCAAAGTGGTTTTGATTTGCATTTCTCTGATGATTAGGGATGATGAACATTTTTTCATGTGTCTGTAGGCCTTGCACCTGTCTTCTTCAGGGAAGTTTCTATTCAGATCTCTTGCCCACAATGAGATGTGGTCACTTGTTCTTTTCTTGCTTATACGTTTGAGTTCTCTGTGGATTCTGGTTATTAAACTTTTGTCAGTGACATAACCTGCAAATATCTTCTCCCATTCTGAGGGCTGTCTGCTTGCTTTACTTACTGTGTCCTTGGCTATGCAGAAGCTTTTTAGTTTGATCATATCCCAGTAATGTATTTTTGGTATTGCTTCAATTTCTGGGGTGGGGGGTCCTTCTCATAAAGTATTCTCCTAGGCCAATTTTTTCAAGTGTTTCCCCTGCACTGTCTCCAAGAATCTTTATAGTTTCATGTGTTAAGTTTAAATCTTTTATCCAGTGAGAGTCAATTTTGGTTAATGGTGAAAGGTGTGGGTCCAGTTTCAAGTTGCCAGTCAATTCACCAAGCAGCATTTGTTAAATAGGGAATCTTTCTCCAAATTTATGTTTTTGATAGGCTTATTAAAGATCAAATGACCATAAATGTCTGGGTAAATTTCCTGGTTTTCTATTCTATAGATTTATAGTATAGTCTGAAGTCTGATAATGTGATTCCTCCTGATTTGTTTTTATTTCTGAGTAATGTCTTGGCTATTCAAGGTTTTTTTCTGATTCCATGTATAATAAAGTACTATTTCTTCCAGGTCTTTAAAGTATGACAGTGGTGCTTTGATAGGGATCACATTAAATTTATAAATCGCTTTGGATAATATGGACATTTTTAACAATGTTGATACTTCCCAGGCATGAGCATGGTATGTTTGTCTATTTCTTAATGTCTTCAGCTATTTCCTTTCTCAGGGTTTCATAGTTTTCTTTATAGAGATCTTTCACATCCTTTGTTAGGTAAATTCTCAAATATTTCATCTTCTTTGGCCCTACTGTAAAAGGAATAGAGTCCTTGACTATTTTTTCAGCTTGACTATTGTTGGTATATATAAAGGCTACAGATTTGTGAGTAATGATTTTGTATCCTGAGACACTGCTGTATTCTTTGATCACTTCTAAGAGTTTTGTAGTTGAGTCCTTAGGATTTTCCAGGTATAAAATCAAAAATAAAATAAAAAATAAATAATAAAATAATAAATAATAAAATCTGGGAAGAGTGAAAGTTCGACCTCCTTTGACCCTATTTGGATACTCTGTCTCTCTCTCTCTATATATGTGTGTGTGTGTGTGTGTATTGATTTATTTTATTTACAGAAAACTACTATCATTTAAGATTTAAAACAAAAGTAATGCTTTAAGCACTCCTATATATCATACAAGCATGCAAACTACAGACATAATGATGACAGGTTCTATCAAGGCTTCATGTGACATTTAATGGCTAAAAACTAAACAGCACTCAGCAAAACAAAACGTGTTTAAATAAATGCTTTCGTGTGAATAAAGAAAGCTCACCCAGCAAACCTGGAGCAATACTGACCATAGAGGTAACATTATACATTAGTCTCATAGTCTCAAGAGGGTTCTGTCTGCCTTGGTTATCTTCAAACAACTCACTTGCAGGTTGATTATATTGAGGCAGCGTCTTAACAGAAGCAGAGTTGATAGTATTACATGTGATGACATCTTGTCATGCTATAAGCAATCTCAAAACATAACTTTCATTTATCACATCTATCTTTCTCATGACAGCATAAAAAAGCCTCCCTTCTCAAATGCACAGATGTGCTCCAGGTGCACTTTCCAACTTATGTTTCCCTTTATAATGCATATTTAAGAAGAGCTCAGGACCTTTTAAAAATCTACCTAGCAATATTTTCTAAATCACAAAACACTACCTGGAAAGTAATGAAATAAACAGTCTTAATTACTATAATTAATTTTAAGTATACTTTATTCTGAGGGGAAAAATTAAACATTTTAAGCAAAGTTATAATGTACAGAAATCATTCTTGCCAATATGGAGGCACTAAAGAAAAAAGGGAAAAAAAGAAAACAGACCTATTTGAAGCCTCTGTTCAAAGATAAAATTGTAAATACTTTAGGTCTCCTAACAATGTAGTTAAAATTTCTTACAAAACCATAACTCTTCTTTCCTTAAAAAAACGCTCTCTAATAGAGTACTGAACCAGAAAACAGATCAATGCACAAATCACATCTTAAAAATGGTTTTTCATTATAAAACGTTTTCCCATATATCCAAGGAGCTCAAAAACCTATGACAGGGGACCCCAAAATAGAATGCTAGGCACCCTAGATAAAAACACAAAATATAAGGAATATACCACCTAGTCTAAGAGCCAAAATCTTACAATAATGTAAGAGAATATCTATGCAAACATTTATAAATTTTAAAAACAGAAATACAGGTGATAGAGTTATATTTAAAAATTAGAAGGAGGTGTATGTATGTTTTCACAAGAGAATATAAAAATTGTTTGAGAATTGAATTGTAACCATTATATAAATATTATATGAACTTTCAGATTCTGGTTACTTCTTTTAGATATAAGGTACTTATTTTTAATCTTGAAAAGATTCCTTTTTTTTCTTTTTTTTCCTTTATACTTCTTTTTGATCAAGATCCCTGTGATTTAAAGAGAATCTTTTACAAAGAAATTTGCCTCCCTCTGAAATAGTCAACTAAGTAGCATTTCAAGACTTACCTTCATGAAAACAATTGTTGGAGTAGAAAAATACTAAAAGACTGTCAAATGTATTCCTTCTTTCCATGCTCTAATATAATTTTAAAGGTGAACCATTTTCTTCTATAAAAATCAGTGACTATTAATACATTGTTATTTTCCCTTAACAATTAAAAGATGCATTTAATCACACCTTATAATAACAAAAAGAAAATAATATAATTTTAAAATGTATTTTAAACTAGCTCAGGAAAATCAAATTGACTTCTGTCTATACTTGGAAAATGGATGAGAAAAGAAAAGTTCTTGTTAGTCTATTCTCAGAAAAAGGAAAAGACAGTAGCCACAGAGGCCAATTCAGAAATTAGTTGTCCACTATCTGCTAGAAACCAACTCATAAACTGTTGTCTTTTCCTAATGCCTACATTTTGTCACAGTTATTGCTTTCTTTGCCCTTTTCATATGTACAAAGCTGTTCCATGAAGCCAGAATTTGGACATATGGAAGGCCTTGCATTTTTCACCAAAGAAAAAGCATGGGTAAATGAAGTTTCTTCAGAATTCCTTAGGAAGCCTATTACAATTGCAGCAGCCCTGGAAACTCCTGCATTACAATGAACAAGAACCATGCCATCCTTCATTTTTGCTTGTTTAATAAATTCAAAACATTCTTGTGTTTTTTCAGTGTATCCAGATCATGAGCAGCATCTTGTGACCCCAGGAGCAAACACAGCTTAATAACGCCAACTTGCAGGTCCAAGCTAAGGTCCTGCACATAACCACAACCACCCCCACTGCTCGGTCCTACTTCTTCCACCACATGAATTCTGGCATCTTTCCATGTTTCTATAATTTTTTTTTTTCAGTTGCTGTTGTCACCCTTGTGCATTACTTCCTGAGATTATTCCAGGAAAATGCTTTGATTTCCTGGTTAAGGGAGTGCATTACGTGAGCAGTGGCTGGAACAAATACAAGCAAATCCAGCAAACACAGAGAAGGAGTAACTGCTCGTCCCTTATAGCTCAGGTAACAAACGCAACCTCGGGAGTGCTCGCCTCTCCAGGTAACAAACAAGAGCAGGCCGGAATAGCCAGCCAAATGCCAGAAAACCCAGAGCTACAGTTTGGTTTTCCCCAGCGCTGCAATGCAAGGCGAGGTGCGATTGTTCATTGAGGACCAGGCGATGATTGGATGTTGTTTCTTCTTCCTGTTGGCTAAATCCTTGTGTTTTCCCTGTAGGCTACACGGGTCTGCCAGAGGGCTTTCTTATTGGTGTTGTTTAAATCTAGTTGTATTATATATGCCTATTAGAAAAATATAAAATCTAGTTCCCTATTTGGTTACTCTTGATTGCCTTCTCTTGCCTGATTGTGATGGCTAAGACTTCCATTACAATGTTAAAAAGGAGGGGAGGTAACGGGCAACCTTGTCTGCTTCCTGATCTGAGTGGAAATGTTTTCAATTTTACTCCATTCAATATGATATTGGCTGTGGGTTTGCTGTAGATGGCTTCTATCAGTTTAGGAAATACCCCTTCTATAATCTATTTTCTTAAGGGTTCTGATCATGAAAGGATGCTGGATATTAACAAAAGATTTTTCTGCATCAATTGAGAGAATCATATAGGTTTTTTTTATTTTGTTTATGTGATGTATTATATTAATAGATTTATGTATATTGAACAAACCTTGAGACCCTGGGATAAAACCAGCTTGGTCATGGTGCATAATTTGATGTGTCGCTGGATTCTGTTTGCTAGGATCTTATTGAATATTTTTGCATCTATATTAATAAAATATATCGGTGTATAATTTTCTTTCCTTGTTGGGTCTTTTCCTGGTTTGGGGAATCAGGGTGATATTTCCTTTATAGAATGTGTTGAGAAGTATTCCTTTTTCTATGTTTTGAAAAAGGTTATGTAATACAGGTATAAGTTCCTCTTTAAAGGTCTGGTAGAATTCTGATGTGAAGTCATCTGGTCCTGGACTTGTCTTTCTTGGGAGATTTCATATAGTTGATGCTATTTCAGTACTTGATATAGGTCGATAGACCTATATCATTTATTATATATCATCAGTATAACATTTCCAGTGCTTTCTGGCTAAGTTTAAGAAGGTGGCATGCTTCCAAGTATTGCTCAATTTCCTTCAGATTTTCATATTTCTGAGAATAGAATTTTTTGTAGTATTCATTAAGGATTTTTTGAATTTCTGAGGTGTCTGTTGTTATTTTGCCTTTGTCATTTCTGGTTGATGATATTAGGGATTTTACTTTTCTGTTTCTGGTTAGGTTAGCCAACAGTTTATTCATTTTGTTAATCTTTTAAAAAACTTGACTTTTTGATTCATTGATGTTTTAAATAATCCTTTTGTTTTAAATTTCATTTAATTCTGCTCTAATTTTGGTTATTTCTTTTCTTCTGCTGGGTTTGGGGTTGTAATATTCTTCCTTTTCCAATTGCTTGAGATGTCCCATTAGGTTGTTGACTTCCTCTCTTTCCATTTTCTTGAGGAAGGCTTGCAATGCTACAAATTTCCCTCTTAGGACTACTATCTTTGCAGTATCCCAGATGTTCTATAATTCATGTTTTCATTATCATTTTGTTCCAAAAATGTGTTTATTTTCTCCTTAATCTTCCATGTCTTTGTGTGACTTTGTGTGACTTTGTGTGACTTTGCATGTTTTCATTATCATTTTGTTCCAAAAATGTGTTTATTTTCTCCTTAATCTTCCATGTCTTTGTGTGACTTTGCAGATTCCTATTGTTACTGAGTTTGACATTTATCCCATGATGGTCCAAGAAAATACAAGGAATAATTTCCATTCCTCTAAATTTTCTGAAGTTAGACTTGTGACCCAAGATGTCATAATTTTGGAGGATGTTCCATAGGCTGATGAGAAGAATGTGTTTTCAGTTTTGTTAGGATGAAGGGTTCTCTAGATGTCTCTCAAGTCCATTTGTTGTAGGGTCAAGTTTAAGTCCAATATTTCTTTATTTAGTATCTTCTTTGATGATCTATCCAATACTGTCAAAGGGGTGTTAAAATCTCTGATTACTATGGTTCTAGAAGATATCAAATTGTTCATGTCTCTTAGGGGCCCCCTTATAAATTGAGGAGCATTCTAGCTGAGTGCATAAACATTAATAATTGAAATCTCTTCATGTTGAGTGTTTCCCTTAAAAATATGAAGTGACCATCCTTATCTTTCCTCACTTTTTCTTTCTTTTTTTTTTTTTT